TTTGGAAACCATAACATTTAATTCTGTGCAATATTGTACTTTCACTTGGTTATGATACTAGATTGGATTGCAAGTTACAATCCAGACACGGTACACCCAACATACTCGATACACGCAAGGTTAGTAAATGTACATGGAGCATTATTGCTACAAGCAAACATGCTCAGTCCTGTTTTACAATCCATACACAATAAATAAGAAAACAAATTGAAAGGCTTTTCAGGAGAAAGTTATTTCAGCCAAAAATCAGTGAATTTACATTCTCCATCAATACTTTTCCAACTAGTTCAGATATCCCACAGAAATGGGTGTATTATATGTGCAATAAAACAATTGGACACTTTTGTTCTACAAAGATGTACAATCTGATCCACATTATTGAAGTTTATAATACCGGTACTTACAGAAAATACATTTGACTTTATATCTGTGGTTTTCAGTCAAATTTAATCTGATTCTTTGAGATAACATTTTTTGAGAAGTCAGCATCCATGTACCAAGTTTCATTGAAACGTGATGATTAGCATTAATAATGCAAATTAGGTAATTAATATGCATGCCTTCTAACCCAAATCTTTATCAGGTCTGTGCATTGTCCCATGGCATCTATGTACCAGGTTTCATTTAAATGTGATTAGTACTTAAAAGATCATGGATTAATCTTTATGCAAATTAGGTTATTAAGATGTAGATTTTTAATCCAAACTAGTTAGGCATATGCATAGTCCTAGAAAATTTATGTACGAAGTTTCATTGAAATGTAATGATTAGAACTTGAATGAGCAGAAAAGCCCACAAAATTAATGGATATTAACCCAAAACTTATCAGGTCTGTGCATTGTCCTATGACATCTATGTACCAGGTTTTATTGTAATACGATGATTATATTACTTAGTAGTGGAAAAGCCCAAAATTGAATAATCATGCAAAATAGGTAATATGCATGGTTTTAACCCCAAATCTAATAAAATCTGCGCGCATCTATGCATCAAGTTTCATCAAAACCAACACATGGTTCTTGAGATATCAGTGGAACAGGCGGTGACACGCCAGCACGCACACTCTCTCTCTCTCTCGACCGGGAACTGCAAAGACTCGCCAAAAAACAAACAATAGTTATAAATTAGTTAATGATTTATTGAAGTTAATGTACAGTGAAGTACATAGAATAAGTCAGAGTAACTTTTCTTGTAGTAAAAAAAAATATTAGTTATACATTTGTGAGAACAAAAACAAATTCAGAGGTTTTCTAAATAACGGGTACGGGTAGTGAACACCATTTGCTAGAAATGCAAAATTTTAAACATGAATGATTTGAAATCACGA